TGGGACTTCAAAAATGTCAAAAATGTTTTGTTAAGAATATGGTAGACTGATAGAAAAGATTGACAACAATGTTAGTTAGAAGTAAAGCTGATGTTGTCAGTGACTGTTTCAACAAGAATACTAAAGATCTAAATGTTGTATATGGGTTGATGTGCAAGTCAGGAACCACTGCTGGCTCTTGCATCTGCAGCTTTGAGGCAGTGATGTCATTCTTCTTCCTGAAGCAATTGATGTCACACAAAATGTTAGGGACAGATCTCACCTAGGACCATAAACATATCAGCTGCACTAATCTTGTGTACTATACAGTATATACTTTCCAAATCCACTTCAAATAAAGATCAGTATGTAACACATTGTATAGCTTACGTGTATTATTTTTATCGTTTTCAAAAAACATCCAGAAGACAACAGATATCACATTATCTTAAATGAACTGTTCAGTTACAAAAATACAGAAAGAAACAGTAATGTACCTTAATAACCTGAAAGTTGTCATTGGAGAATAAATAAAATTTCAACTTTAGAAAATTCCTTAGTCATGATTAGTTAACAATGTATTTGTACTTTTCCATTTTTCAGTGAAACATAAATATGAACAACATATTTCGATGTATCCGCCAATTTCAGTAAATATATATAATCAATGTGTGTGTTACAGAATGTGTATTGGAGAACATGTTTGTTTACTCCAGATGGCAAGCACATCTTTGCACTGTAACTAGTAGACTTATAATATCTTAGGGTTAGTGAGATGAGATAACTAACTCACTGAAATGGTTGTATTTCTTCAATATACTTTTCTTATACAATATTGAGGGTCAACTTGTGTTTCCATAGATAATCCATATATTCAAAGTATGTGTTAAAGTCATGTTTAGCATCACTTGGTCTCCACCTAAAAACACTGAAAACTCAGTTTGACTTTGATAATTCTTTATTGTACTTATTAGTAGGGATCGACAAGGTTTCCAAGTAATGCATGTGCCAAAAACCACCCTATCAAAATCCTAAGTAAGAACCAACCATTCAAAATATTGGTTATGATATATTATGCACATATATACTAATAACATGCTAAAAAGATCGCTGGTATAACAATTCAAAAATTTCTAAAACAGCAACTATTGTCTACTACCTACCTGATCTGCTATCTAGTCTCTAGGTGGCTCAGACTGTCGCTACAAGATTTTTCCAGCTTACTTGACTTGTCTGTGGGTATCTGCTTTTGATATTCTGATAAATATATACAGATTTTTTATAAATAGTAAATGTATCGTGCACATACTTAAATATCCTTTAAACACAATTCAACCCAACAGATGGCATTACATATTGATGGATAGACTTAGGACAGTTTCTAAAGGTAAAGTATACACTTTATACAGGTATAATATAAAAATAAACAAAGGTGTACTAAAAAATTATGTATTTTAAAACAATGAAACAAGACTTAAAACCACAATCACAAAAATATAATCCCTACTTTATACACTTATCTCTAAGATTACTTTTTATAAATTTGTGGTTTTAGTTCTTGTAAAAGTTGTAGTTATCAGGAATAAGACTATACTGAAAATTAAAACTGAAAGGAGGCATCATTGGTTACTCATAGAATTGTAGCATTTATTTTATTTTCGGTACTTCTTATAGCAATTCTACAAGTAACCAACAATCCCTACTTTCCATTAATTTTCTTCCCCTATTTTATTATAGCTGCAAAAGTGTTATGGTGAGTAAATTGGCAGTCAAACTGAAACCAGCTATTGGTGTTTTTATATGGATGTCTCAAAAGTTTCAGAGAAGGTGCCACTATTCAGAAAAATGTGAGAAAATTATTAAATGCATTCATTGTTTGTAATCGTAAAGAAATGGCAAGATATGCTATAGCTGTGAATTAATTTTGCTTTTTCTTGTGTTATTTATTATTTCTTTGTACTCCCTGTTCTTTCAGGGTTTTTAAGAGACTTCATTGAGTCTAAAAAATTATGTAAACAGGATATACTTTCTTGGCAATTGAATAACTTCCACCACACATTTGTTTTTGTTTTTTGGTTATCATTACATAGCAGGTACAGTGTCCATTCTAGTAAGTGGATGGTGTAACTGTAACTTGCCTCAGGATACACAAACTTGTGATCTGTTGTACTAATATGGTTTGGGGTATGCGATTCATGGCACTAATACACCAGTTTAAGTAAAGGAAACCATAACTGATTCAAATTCAACAGAGGGACTTTTCAGATGTAAGGGAAGAGTTCTTTCTAATTCTTACAAAGTAAACTGTCACCTCTTTACTGGAATTATTTATTTTGTGCAAAATTTTAGGACAACTTAGGATCAAAGATAATGTTAACCTTCAGAAAACTGACTAATGTGTGACCATGTTTAGGTGTCATTTCATATAAAATGCCAATATCAAACTGGTTTCTTTTGTAGAGGAAGTGTATAAAGTATTTTGAGTTTGGTATATTTTCAACTTTCTTTCAAATAATTAGGACAGCTTGTAATCCCAAGTTCATATCTTTTGTTTCATGTTTGTTGATTACCATATCAGAAAATGAGATGTTACAGCAGCAGAAGCAAAAAAATAAGATGTTTTAATGACTCATTGAAGTTATAATTTCAGTTGATGTTGGGTTGCTTCAATAATTGAGCTAAACAGAAGGCTATGATAAACTAATTACTATGGAGTAAACAAGGTAATGAATGGATATACCTGAAAGTTGTGGAAAGTCAAAGAATTCTCAAAATCAACCAATAAAAACTAAAACAGCCTAATCAGAGAGGCAAAAGTATATACATGTATAAATGTTTTGTTTGCCCTCCCCATTTCGACCTTAGTCCCAGAGAATTATTGGTCGGCCGATAATTGTTGTAAGCCAACGGAGACATACACCCAGGTGGCTAGCCTAGTCAGCTTCCGTATAGGACAAACGTAACTATTTACAAACTTGAATGAAACATAATATATTTTCTGCTAAGCCAAACTTTTATTCAGTTACTGTTATTAGTACTAACAATAAAATAATGATAGCAGTAAGGTCAGTTGTGTAAAAACAAACATAAGTACAGAATAGTAAATCTGGAAGAAGTAAACACCAGTTTAACAGAACAGGAAATAGATTTTAGAATCTCAGAACATTGGAATGCTACTTCTTCACGTGTAAATCTAACAAAACACAATTTATAATCGTAGAATACCTATCAAAACAAACAATTTTGTTAGTGTGAACGTGCTTTCTATTCATTATGAGAAAAACTATACACTGGATAGGTAAAGAAAGAGTGTCATTGGGCACTATTCAGTTCCTTACATTATACAGCCATACAATACCTGCTTATTGTATTAATTACATTACTTTTCTGTTAGTACAATATGGGCATATAAGATCAGTTATGATGTAAAGGAAATTTTCCAACCCCGAGTAATACTGACTTTATTTTTTATTCATAAATAATGATGTTCACTATAAAAAAAAAAAACAAAGTCTATAATTCTAAGTATTGTATATGTTAATTAAATAATAATTCAAATATGAGCATATTCAAATTTTCAATGTATTATATCAAACTTCATGTGTATGTCCCAATATACAATAATCCTAACTATATTAATTATGTTACGTTTTTTATAATACAACCTTTGTAAATTTTCTTAAAAACGTTATTCCTTATTGAGTAATAGAAATGGATTTGTTTAATCATGTTTCATAGAAATAAGCAATTTATCTACTTTTTCTCATAACCATAAATCTGTGTAGGAGTGAAGCACTCTTCTCATGGGATCATGGGTTTTTGCCTTGTGGTAAAAGTTTTGGATTTAGGAATTAGTGAGCCAGGTTTCAATCTGTGATATACCACAAAATATACCCCAAATTTAAGTGTGAGTGTGTTATAACCATGACAGTCAAGCCCTTAGCTGTCTTCCCTCTGGTCAGTAGTTCAAAATTAAGAACAGTGGCAGGTAGCCACAGATACAATATAAAATGATTTTCATGAGAATGATGTGACTTCAGTTTATATGTAATACATTTATATCAGTTTTAGATGGAATGATTTAGGTTGTACTACCAAGAACTCTGAGAGTGATCACTTCACAATAACCTTCTGCCTATAAAAGATTACTACTTTATGGCTGAAAGTTCTCCATCTATAGATGGAAAGCTGTGAAAGTGGCCTTTTGCAAGCATGATTTAAATCTAATGTGAGATTTTATTGTTAGCACTGTTCAAATCTTTATTGGTCTGAACTTCCAACCATTTTCATTTGTACAAAGAAAGTGTTATACCTGGTTAATTCGATGATAGGTTGTTGTTGTTTTTGATGTGCAACTGAGGTTCCAAAAGTAACTGGACATATCTGTAAAGGGTTTGAATATTAATGTTTAAAAAAAATGTAACTAGTCTCGTATGATTATCAGGTTGGTCCATTTTGTAACATGACAAGTTGTAAGTGGTTTCTGAATTCTTTTTTTTTTCTTCTACAAATTCAAGTTAAAATTGAATTCCGAAAGTTATCCAAAATGGCTTTAAATGCATCTGAGAATACTACAACTCCAGAGCTTTTAGGGTCCTAGACAGCCCCCAAAGCCTCGAACAATAGATGTGTTTCAGTCAAAATGATCATTGTACACTTTTCACCCATGCTACTTGTTACTTTATACTTTAATAATTTGGCACAAGTTTTGAGTTTTTTTCGGTTTTATGTTGTGTAATTTGTTTTCTGATTTAAGACACAAGTTAGATGGCTCTATTTATAAAAAATACACTAAAATGTTCCACTGTAGAAAAAGATACAATTTTATTATGATGGTTAACAAGATAACACAGAAAAATCAGAGAAGCAGTTTCTGTGTATGTAAGTCCCATTAGATGTATTTTATGTTTGAGAGGAAGACAGTGTTATTTAGAATCACTTACATTTTCCATTATTGTTTGTTTAGTGTTTCCTTTTTTAATTTAGTAAAGTATTCAATGTTTTTTTTTGTTATTGTTTAGGAAAGTACAGAAGAAATGACCTCGCTGGATAATGACTCGTTTCTAAACAGTCTGGAAGCTGTAACTATACAGAATTATTGGGCAGACAGTTCCAAAAGTACCAAAGTTTAAGATTTTTTATTTTTTTTTAGGATTAGATACCGAAGTGGGAGTATTGGTGTTCATAATCATATTTTGAAGATATGTAAGATCAACCTGTGAGCTAAAGTGAATTATTGAATCAGGGCAGGGTAGGAATAGTTGTTAATCCAGTCGTAGCATCACATAGTCACTGGCTGTAATCCCAATTTTTTGATAATTTGCATTATGGGTAATATTTTTTACAAATTGGAATAATACATAAGAAGAAAAAGATTAGTCACTTGGAAGATGGAATATAGAATATGATACCCATGGAATTCTATTTTGATAAATGTCAACAGACAACTAACTCCCAAAGTTTTGTTGGCATCCTGCAACTGAAATTAACCCTTTAGGTACAACTGTTGTCATGTGATTTAAATTTCCTTTTAGAAATGCAAATCAAGTGCACAAAATCAATAGACAAAGCCTAACCTACACAGGTGACCTCAGCCATGGTGTATGTTGCTATTCAAAACATTGATAACATTTGCAATTGATGATGATGATTTTGAAAATGATATGAATGAAAAAAGTATGCGTCTAAAGGGTTAAAAATGAAAAGACGTACTGTAGTCGCAATGGGTATCCTAATGTTTCAGCTGAAGGAACATATTTTAGTAGTTTTTAACTGATAAAAATTTATTTAAGTGAGCTAATTAGGATTTTTTTGCAACTACAAGAAAAATAAAGTTGACATATACAGTGAAAGAATGACTATGGGAGAATGAGAGGTGTAATCTCAAAAGTTCATAACATGAAATCCAAGAAAACTATTCCTTCCCTGTATGGAATGATTTTAGGCTTTGAAACTGTATTAATTCTGTTGTGCAGATATTTTTATTCAACAGTTATCAAGGTTACTGGTACGTTTGTAGTATACATGTTTTTATTGTTTGTTTGTTTTGTAATGTGCCAGGGTCACTTGTATCCTTCATTCATGTATGTGTTTCTAAAGGTTTGCAGTTGTGATGTTTTTGGAGACAGAAAATGGTCAAGGAGTAACTGTACATTCCAAGAAATGAAAATATATCTAGAAGTGAAGCAAAGAAAGAGATGTAAGGTTACAAATGTCATATGCAAACACTGATCTTGAAATTGACTTAGAATCACATTACTAGATTCTTACACTTGCTTGTAAGTGTGATTCACTTGTGACAGTAAATTTTCAGCCAAAGAACCTAAAATGCCATCCCCATTGGGACAACAGTAAGTCTTCAAATTTACAATGCTAAAATCATGGGTTTGATTTCCCTCGGTGGACACAGCAGATAGCCCGATGTGGCTTTGCTATGACAATACAAACACAAAAAATGTCCCATAGTGGCTCAGTGGCCTGTAGGCTTATAATACTTAAAAACAGGTTTAGCTCTATGTGGTGGGCACAACACAACAGACTATTGTGTAGCTAAACCAACCAACCTAAAATTTAGATTTTATTATACTATGACATTAAAATATATATAGTTTTGGATTGCAAAATTTTTTATTACAATTTATTGTTTCTCTATCAGTACCTGTCCATAATTAACCATTAAATTAGATCCAAATATTTTTTCTGTGTTGTTTATGTAAAATTAAATCTTAGTTTATTTTGTTTACATTAACAACTTTCAAATTAAGAATCAAATTACAAAAATTTAATTTTTTAACAGTGAACTCTTGAATAATTTGCTACCAGTTTTTTTTATTATTACTTAAGTTTGCTAATGGATGTTGTCCGGTTTGTTGTGCTTTGTTTTTATAACACTCATCAGCTCAGTGAGATACAAGTTATCACACATGCTAAAGAAACAATTAGATCTTTGACTCGTACTTTGATTAGTCATGTTTATGGGAAATCTACATAATTTTAGTTTTAAACCCAAGATGGAACTTGTTTCATAATGTTATTTTCCTCCCCTCACATTCAGACCAAAGATAAATTGACATAAAAGGTTAACTCCCTAGCAGTTATTGAGACACTTATAAGACTAACTGTAACATTCTTCACTTGTCACAAAGAAGGCTGTTCTGTGGATCTTATTTCAATGATGTGGAATAGCCATTAACAGGGTGCCAATTCTTGCATTTCTTGTAAACCAGACATTTTATATTACAGATGAGTGCTCTACCAGCCGAGATAATAGGGTTAACCAATGAGCAATTACTAGTTTGACACTTTGTAACAAGTCATACACCAGAGTATATTCATTGCTATATAAAATAATTCGAGGGGTAACTAGCTTAATTCAGGTACATTGTAAGTTTCATAGACATTACCAGTTGGAGAGTATACAGTGGCTGATAGATAGCTAGATGAGGATGAGAAAATTTCATCATTGTTTGTGAGCAACTTGTCTTATGTACATCCAAAGAAACTGAACTAGTCACAGTCCTAAATATTACTGTCCTACACTACAAAGAAGGTTGATTTCTATCTCCATCTGGCACACTAAGAACTTGGATGAAGTCTGAAAAAGTTCAAGGTATGTTTTACATCTGGTAAAAGCAAACAAAAGTAACAGAAATAGATGAAGATGGGAAATTATTAGCACGGAATAATTGATGTACGTTAGTTTACTTTTGTTACTCTATGTCATATTTTTAAAATGTGCAATTTGTTTTAAAATTATGCATTTATAAGTGATTGAATTTACAAATATGTACAATTATTTTATTGGTTTTTAGAACTAGTGGTTTTCTTTTCTTGTAGCAGGTGTTATTCGTATGTAAAGAGATAATATGGTTACACGCAATTACTACTATAATGAGGATAAACATAAACTTGTGTAAATGTATTAGTCTAGCAGCCAACTCTCAAAGTGTTTGTCCCATTGCACTCCCATGTCAGAGTATGTTTGATGGCTGTATAAGTTTACTCAGCACTAAAATCTGGTGTTTAGTTCCCTGTGGTGGACATAGCTGATGGCCCAGTGTGGATTTGCTCCCCAACAAACAAATCCAGGCAGAATAGACACACAGAAAAATGTTATAGAAACCTTAAATTACTTTTGCATAGAAATGGCACCCATGGAAATACAAGTGTTTTTTGTTGTTTTTTAGAGATAGAATTGCCATCAATATTTGAACTTCATGATGTTTAGTAAAAAGATCTGTTGTGAATATGACTTCCAAATACTAAATGATTTGAACTTTTTATTGTCAGAGAATTCTGTAACGTGTTTATTCAACATTATTGTCAGTGGTATTCGCAGAAGTATAATAGTCGGGTTGTAATAATTTTCTCCATGAGTTTGCGAGGCAGCTTAATAAGCTAATGGGGCGGAAGTTATTTGGGTTGGATCTATTGGTTTGTTTTTTTGGGTATTGCTGTGACTATTGCTTGTTTTCATGTTAGATTATTGTTACAGTATAGAATTATGCCTATATTATTGTTTAATGTTTCTGAGATTATCATGATGTCGGCTTTTACTTGTTTATTTAGATTGAATATTTCAAATGTTTTGGTGACTAGGTCACCTTCATAGTTGAGGTGCATTATTTTTATTGTGTCTGTGAATGTTATGTTTGTAGTGTACGTTTGGTTATTCTTAGTGAGATGTGGTAAGGCTTGAGGTTGGGGAGGTCTAGCGATTGAGCAGAGAGCTTCTAAACACTCTGCCCGTGTAGAGAAGTCAGGTTACTCACTTAATTCTACCATCATTGAAAGGAGGTTGATGGTATATTCAGTGGGATTGAAGGAAATTAGTGTGCTATTGGGGTTGCTTGGTTGATGGGAGCCTGTTTCACTTGTGTGTGAGTATAGTTTCGGTGGAACTGTGGGCTGGGCTGTGGTAGTGTTGTATGTATTTACGTCTACTGGAGGTGTTTCAAGCAGTGGCTGACATTGTGGTCGGGATGGTGGTGGGAATTCTGTGATTTGTGACAAGGATGTTGTCTTTTTAGTTCTAAAGAGAACTCTATCCCGAACTTGTGTAAATTTGGGGCATGCTCTGTAGCTTGCAGCATGGGGGCCTTGACAGTTATTGCAGGTGACCTGGTTGCACTCGTTTGGGCATTTGGTGACATCGTGTGGGCCTGAGCATCTAACACATTTAGGGGGAGCCGTGCAATATGGTTTACTGTGCCCGAACTTTTAGCAGTTGTAGCATTGTAAGATTTGTCTGCCAGGTGTTTTTGTGAGTTCCATGTAGTGCTTTTTGAAGAAGAGTGAGCAACCATCTTTTAATAGTTTATCATGGTCTTTGTTATCGATGGTTACTTTTACGAGGGGTGTTTTTTGTTTTGTTTGGAGTGAAGCGATTCTTTCAACTTTGGTGTTGTTGTAGACAATGGTTTTAAGTTCCTCAATGATTTTGTCATCCTCGATGTCAAGATCGACACCTCTGACGATGGCTGGTTGTGTAGAGGTATTCTTAGGCGGGTGAATGGATATTTTACCATCAAATGCTGTGTTGGGCCATTGGGCTAGAATGTGTGCATAGTCTTTGGGGGAAGAGCACTTTAGAAGAACACCTCCTTTTTGGAAGTCTACGGATGTCTTTGAAATTTAAGTTTGTGAAGTGTTTTCTAATTTCTTAACTATTAGAGGTATTCTTAGTGGAGAGGGTATGCCTTCAATGATAATTTCCTGGGATGTGGTATTGTTTTTCCTTCTCGAGGTTTTGTGTGTTGTTTACAGTGGTGTTTGTTTGCTTATAGTTATTCTTAGGACTAGTGTCGGGAGTATCACTTACTGATGCTGTCTTCTTTTTCTTCTTTCTTTTTACCGTGGTGAAACTGTCGTTGTTAATGTCCAGATTAGGGAGCGAGGAGTCGCTGGTAGCCCCGTCATCCGAGTGTTCCTTGGTCAAGATATAATCTGAGGCCACGTCGTCTAGGGCAGATTCAAGCATGGTTGTTATTTCCGTAGGGGACAGCGGTTGGCCTGCCGACCTGGTGGTGACTGGTCGTGACTTTGTCGGTGTACGAGTCATAGTTTTTATTGGTACTGAGAAGGACCGAGGAGATGCCTACTAATAAAAACATAACAATGATGATTGATGTGAAGGATTCCTTCAGGAACGAAAGTTTAGCATATCTACACACTTCGAAAATCAAGAAAATCATGATGCCACCTCTTTTATGTTCTGTTTTGATTCTATACAAAGGCAAAGCAGAGGATGTCAACAAAGTATTTTAGGTGATGGTTCAGTTAGGAATTTTTTCAGTCACAATATAGTCAAGAGCTATTTAAACATTCATGATGTACAGTTGCTAGAAATGAAATTTTGACCACTGCTTTTGCCCTGATTATGAACACCTGAAAATCACCTTTTGCATCACATTTTGAGAATGGGGGAATATTTTAAAAAATAAGAAAATTTATTCAAATTTCCCAAACTCTGGTGTTTTTTATCGTTTGTTTTAAAACATATTTTTAATTAGTTGGATCACTTCGGAACACCAAGACAAGTAAGCTTACTTGCAAATTTTTCATTAGTTTCAATTCATTAGTTTGGGCCTTGGTCCAAAAAAGACACACTGAGCTCTCCAAATTATTGTGATGTAGAGCAAACTACCTAGAACATGTTGTTCTTTGCTCATTCCAAGTTCTTTCATTTACAACTATGTAAATGTGCTGTATATGCAAATTTTCTAGGCATATCATTTGTCTAAAGAATTGCCTCAATTTGCTGTGTTACTGATAACATTACAGAACTTGCTGTGTCTTAACTCTGGAAACATCATAATTTGGGGAATGTTCTTGAACTAGTAGCATATCTAAAAATAGATGGCTCCTAGCCAAACAGTGGACCAAAATGGCTAGTCAGCTATGCTTTGATGTTTTATAGAGAAAGAATTTAAAGCATTTTAGATTATGTATTGGGCTACTGTTAAGACTTCTGTGTGCATCAGGAGTGTTTTGGATATGTTCTGGCTATTTATCCACCATAACCAGACATAGAAACTGATACAAGTCAACAGGTACTAGGAACTGCTCTCTCAAGGCACTGAATCTACTATCTATACATGGGTTAGTGGAAATCCAGGGTCCTTTTCTGGTAGATGCACAGTATTGTTGATGCATGAAAAAGACAGATCCTTTAACTCATCGTCTGAAAACTCCAAGTTAGCGTTATTTGCATCATCTGTGGTCCTTTTTTGGAACTTGGTAATCCCATTGATGGTTTCTTTCAAATTCATTTTAATGCTATACACCAGCTTTGGTTCCTTTACTGCTTGAGGCTGCACTTTCAAATAGTTGAACATAACATTACTTCAACTTCTCAGCACAGTACGTACCTGGTTCAGCATAACTCCGAATCCAACTATCTTTATTTTATCAACAAGAATGCCATACCAAATGGTCTTTCTTGTGTTAAGACATCCTGAATATAATCTAAATGCATGTCAAATGATCTTGGGAATATATCAGTGCTCTCCTCAGTCTGGTCAGTACTAGTGTCACTGATTCATCCAAACCTCATTATTAATTGACCAAAACAAATTTTGTGATACTTGGCCTCCAAGTGAGGCAAAGAAAAACTAACAAACAAACAAAAAAACTGGACCATTTTGAAAATTGGCCGCTAGACTAATTTGTTTTATTGAGGCATTCTTCTTGGGTGAAATTATTTAGTGTTTATCAGGTAAAATCCCCTAAGGATCTGATTGGTTGTGAGCCTGTTTGTTTGATATTAATATCTATTTTCCTGTAGAGCTTTTCTTTTGTTGACTAAGCTTGTCTGGCAGCTACAAAAGCAAATAATAATAATAACAATAAAAATTGAACTGTTATTGAAAAGTTTAAATGGATCTAATACGTCAGTAATTTCTTTTACTAGGGGCTCTTTGATAAGTAAAATTGTCTAGGAACAGAGGCGTCACTAGATACTTAAAATATTAATTTCATGATGCAACAGGTCACAGATCTTAATTTAACTGGTTAGAAGGATGTAAGAGTTTATGATATCGAAAAATATTAACCCATTGAAGTAGGAATTGGAAAGTGTATGACGAAGATGTGTATTAATATAAAAAGCACAAGAACCAGTTTAATTGTTAAGATAGAAAGAACTAATAAAGTTTATGATAGTAAGAAAACTGACGTCTCATTGTATGCATGTAAAATGAAGTAATAAAGTAAATAAAAGCTACACAGTTTAGTAAGTTTAGGTCATAGTAATATTGTGTATTTTTCAACGTTCGACAAATGGTGTGATAACGTAACTGCCGTTATTTTACGTGTAAACTGACTATCATTATAATTGTAGACTTCTTATGATCACTACGTTTATTGAACAGTGTTTAGCTGTAAACACATTCAGATCGCCTGTAATAACTCTTACCCTCAAGTATTACTAAAAGTGCAAATCATATACAGTTATGATTTTTTGTAACATTTGTTTATTTGATTAATTTTCTTCAGAAGGTTTTAGATTAAATTAAAACAAGAGGGAATCCTCAATAGCCGCGACTCTTGAAATTCTTTTAGGCAGGATTAGAGCAAATTAATCTACGAGATCTTTTTTTTTTTCATTAGCTATATTTTTGCGTGTATACCTGATTCGAATTTATTAATCATCAGGATCTCTACCAGCCTAACCTCAAATTGAAATTGTTTTGGGCAGGATTAGAGTAAATTAATCTATGAGACCTTGGGCGTGATCAAATACATCAACCGAAAGGGTTTGACCTCCTGTGTCTAAAAGTATGATTAAATCTCAGATAGGACAAGAGATGACGAAGCTATGAGCTGGAAGTTTGTACTTAATTAAAAAAAAACAAAAAAACTCAAACCCATGATTAAAAATTCATAATTAGCATGGATGTTCTGAAGTGTGGGAAACCGTACACAAGGATATTGTAGGAATATTTTAAATTTTGTATATTATCGTGCAAGAGAATTGTATTGGTCGATATTAAACTTTATAATTGCATAATATATTTTATTACCTTACCATTGCAAAAAATAAGTTTTACTCTCCTGTGTGTTTTGGTGGAAATTTCAAAAGTTTATTTCAAATATTTTCTAAAATTATTGGATTTTGAGTACGGTGCTGGAAAATTTAAATTAACAAAAGTTCTGTTCGTAGTGTGTCCTAAAATTCCAGCTTTTAATATGTTATGAAGTATACTTTTAACGGAAAAATATGTAGGTGGCTGCTGAAATTATTTAATTTTGCCTTGTAATCATTGTTTTTGATATAACTACTTTATAAGTCATTTCTGCCTTTTCTGTTTTTACATTCATATTATGATGTGTAATGCAACCAAATATTTTTAAATCTAGCGCCAAAATAGAGTCTATTGAAATTATTGTGTTCTGTGTTATTTATTTAATTACTTTAACTATAGTTTATATATTTTTTCTGTTGTTTTTGTATTTTACTATTATCCTGTGATTTCTAAGCACGTGGGACCGAATTCTGCTCATACACGAAGTTGTGAACTTTTAAAAACCAAATTATATAAATTCCTTACATATTTCTGCATGACTAAAGAAAAAAACCAAATTTAAATTTTACATTTCTTTTTAGAATCGTTTTTGTTTAATACGGTAGTTTTTTTTTAAGTTTCAAAACTCAGGCCTTTGATTTGCAAGTTTGGTTTTAAGAATTTTTGTTGTTCATTGGCCAGTGAGGTTGCTTAATTTATGCCTACGTTATGTCTATTTGTATGTCTGGGTTGATTATTTA